AGTCAGCCTTCAGAACCTATTCCCAAAGAGGACTACAACTTCTGGCTGATCCCTCTTGCCCAGAAGCAAGTCCTGCAGTTGCTCAGTGACATCCTTGACTCTGGCAGCAAGAAGGCAACACCATCCTGGAGTCATGTTCTTGCCACAGAACCATCTATCTAATCACCTGATTATGAAATCTCTTAATATTACTCTTCCATTCTTCTTCCTCTTCCCCTGTACAGCTGAGTCACCTGTGGTGCCATGGGCTTGGCTCTGGCTGCACTCCCTTGAGAAACTATTGCCCTCACCAGTTTTTAAAATGGAACACATATTAGTTAGCAAGATAGACTTAGGGGAATCCTGAACTGCCTGCTGGTTTTCTTAGACTGCCTGATAGCTCTCAATACCAGTTAGCTTCTAATCTAAAGTGTGACCATCTTCCCATACTAGGGAATTTCGACTTCCCCAACATAAATCGGGATAGTTAGTGTTAAGGGTTTAGAGGTGGGTGGGGTTTGAAGGGAAGGGAGGATTTCTTGACATGTACCCGGGGAGTTTTTTTTGTACCAATACGTGGAAAGCCCAACAAGGGATGCGCAGTGATGGATCTGGTTCTAGGGAAAGAAGCCAGACAAGTGTTCAATGTAGCAGTGGGGGATCATTTTAGTGATAGCGATTACAACACAGAATGGTTCAAATTTGTTCTGGACAAGGAGAAACATGCCCTGCAAGAGACAACTTTCCTTAGGTGGAGCGGGGTGGTGCAAGAGAGGAGGAGGAGACAGTACAATAAAGCTGGATCTGGCTACTGTAGGATGCGAACTCCTTGAGTGTAAGTCTACAGCAAAGCTATGTTGGGGAGTGGGGGGGTTTGGGGGTAGGCATTCAAAAAGGAGCCAGAAAAGTACAGGTCTAACATGTACCCTTTAGAGAGAAATGTAGAAACATTGAACTCTGGATGTCTAGGACAATTCAGGATTGGATGAGAAAGAGGAGAAAGACTTTTAGCAAGTCCAAAGGGAGCAATTCAGCTGTGGCCCTAGAGGAATATAGGAAATGTGGAAGGAAACTAATGAAAGCAGTTAGAAGAACAAAAAGGGGGCATGAGAAAGACTTGCGAACAGGATTAGGGGGAATCCCAAGATATTTTATAAATAAATCACAGTGAAAAGGTTAACCAGGGAAAGAGTAGGACTCATTATGGGGCAATGCGTGTGTGAAGCTGTAGGATATTGGAAGGGTGTTGGATGAATAGTTCTGTTCAGTCTTCACTCTGGAAAAGGAGAACATAGGCACGAAATTCAGCAAAAGGAACTGTGAGGAACTTGCACAGTTTGACATAAGAAATGGGGAAGTATTGGAGGCTCTGTCAGGCTTAAAAAAAGACAGATCTCTGGCCCAGATGAATTGCATGCCAAGCTACTATGGGAGGTGAAGCAGGAAATTGAAGGCGCTCTGACAAATTTTTAATTCCTCTCTGGCCACGGTGAGGGGGGAGAAGAGCCAGAGGACTGAAGGATAGCTAATGTGGTTCCAATTTTTATGAAGGGTGGTAGAAATAAAGCAGGAAATTATAGACCAGTGAGTCTCATATCAGTAGTAGGAAAACTACTAGAGAAAATTCCGAAGGAGCTATTTCATACCCACTTGGAAAGCATGGGTTAATTAGGGATAATCAGCATGGCTTTGTCAGAGAGATGTCATGCCTAACAAATTTTTTTAGAGTTTTTTGAACATGTGATCAAGTGTGTGGATGAGGGAAGTTCAGTTGATGAAGGGCAAGAATTGTACAATAAATAGTAGGGCCCTGGGTAGTGTTTTGGAACAGAGAGACCAAGGGGTTTAGGTACATAATAGTTTGAAATTTGTGTCATAGGTAGACAGGGTGGTTAAGAAGGCGTTTAGCACACTTGCCTTCATTACTCAGACCTTTGAATATAGGAGTTGGGACGTCATTTTGCGGTTGTACAGGTCATTGGTGAGACCTTTTCTGGAGTACTGTGTGCAGTTCTGGTCGCCCTGCTATAGGAAGGATATTATTAATTGGAGAGAGTTCAGAAAAGATTTACCAGGATGTTTCCAGAAATAGAGTGTTTGAGTTATAAAAATAGGCTGGATCGGCTGAGACCTTTTTCACTGGAGTGTAGGAGATTGTCAGATGACTATACAAGGGTTTATAAAATTAGGAGAGGCATAAATAAGGTGAATAGCAAAGGTCTTTTCCCTAGGGTGGGGGAGTTCAAAACTAGTGGGCATATTTTGAAGGAGAGAGGGGAAAGTTTTAATAAGGACATGAGGGTCAATGTTTTTATACAGAGAGTGGTTCATGTGTGGAATGAACTGCCAGAGAAAGTGGTGGATGGAGATATGGTTAAAACATTTATAAGACATTTTAATAAGTACATGAATAGGAAACGTTTGGAGGCAAATGGGCCAAATGCAGGCACTTGGGATTAGATTAATTTGGAAACATGGTTGGTGTGGACGAGTTGGACCAAAGGGTCTGTTTCCATGCTGTATGACTCTGACTCTCTATGAGTTTATATGGGTTTTAGCAAAGCTTTTGACAAGATCCCATATGGGAGACTGATTGAAAAGGTTAAAGCACACGGAATTGAGAGAAACGTGGCAAGATGGATTAGAAACTGGCTTGGTAATAGGACACAAAGGGAAGAGTAGAAGGCTGTTTGAGTGACTGGAACTGGTGTCCCATGGTGTACCACAAGGACCAGTACCAACTTATTGTTTGTTATATACATAAATGATATAGATGAAAATGTTGGGGGAATGTCAAGCAACGTTGCAGATGACACCAAGATGGAATGAAGGTGGTTGTAGATTACGGGAAGATATAAATGGGTTAGGCAGATGGTGATGTACTTTGGACGAAGAAACAAGGTGAGGGAGCATTTAACGAATGGCAGGACACTGGGTAGCTTAGCAGAACAGATCCCTGAAGTCAGCAGAGCAGGTGAATAGGATAGTCAGGGCAGCATGTGGTATACTTGCTTTCACCAGTCGTGGCATAGAGCGTAAGAGCAAGGAGGTAATGGAGTTATACAGTGCATTGGTCAGACCACAGCTGGAGTACTGTGGTCAATTGAATTGAATCATTTATTGTCATGTGTATTCAATGTAAAAATACAGAGAAAAATGCGTACCTTTGCCATACATACATGGCACCACTCACATTAACTTAGAATAAGATAAGAAGAAGATAGATATGTTAAGAGAGTCCAACTTTCCTTTCCACTGCCGCAGTCCCGCTCCGTGCTTTCCAGCCCTCGCCGTGCCTCCGCCAGTGTCCACTCAGCTGCCTCACTGACTTGCTCTCGCTGCTGCTGCCTTTCTGGTCTGCTCTTGCCGGCCCAGTCGTGATCCACCACCATCCCTCCGGCCCACGCTCAATCTGCCATTGCTGCAGGACACAACCAGCACTTTCAGCTGCTGCCACATGGTACCTGTTCAAAAACTCCTAGTTAAAAGGGATGGGGGGATAGAATTACTACAGAGGGAGAGGGAAGAAGGGAAGTAAAAAAAAGGAAGGACAAAGAAAGAAAGAGAAAGAGAACTGGCAAGCAGAGTAGAGCTCTGAATGGACTCCGACTTACTTTGCTACCATCTTGCCTCTGAAACCAGGGCAGTTCTGGTCACCTCACGACAGGGAAGGATGTGATAGCACCAGAGGGGGTACAGAGAATGTTCACCAGGATGTTGCCTGGGATTGAGCAATTAAGTTATAAAGGAGAAACTAGATAGCCATGGACTGATTTCTGTAGAACAGAGAAAATTTGAGGGGCACAGGGACATGATTGAGTTGTAGAAGATTGAAGGGTATGGACAGTGTGAACCAAGGATTCCCCTCGGTTGAAGGGTCAAGCATGAGAGGGCATAGTTTTAGGGAAAGGGGCAGGAGATTCAGTGGGGAAAAAGAAACTTTTTCACTTAGCAGGTGTTAGGAATCTGGAATGTACTGTCTAGGAAGGTAGTGGAGGCAAGAAACCTTATAACCTTTAAAAAAATGTTTGGATGAACACTTCAAATATCCTAACATTCAAAGATATGGGACAAGTGCAGGAAGTTTGGATTAGAACACCTTTAGTGATAGTTGTCAGTGCAAACTCAATGGGCTAAAGGGCCTTTTCTGCACTATGATTCTATACATGCTATCCATGTAGTCCCCTGCCTCATGGATGCACAACAGTTGCTGTTCAAGTTCCAAAACAATATTGTAGGATGTACAGTTTACTAGGTCCTTCTGACCAGCCACCCAGTAACTCCAAAAACTATTTTTTACCCATAGAAGTAGTATGCAGTATGAAAATGTGACAAGGTATTTCTCAGAAAAGAAAGGAAAAACACTATGCAGAATTAAACACAAACTAAGTACCAATCTTTCACCTTAAAAATTAGAAATATTCACCAGACCTACTCACCAATCAGCTGTTCTCCTTGCACTCATGGTGACACACAGAATTGATTTCACTACAGACAAGCATCTCAATCTGCATCCCCTCACACTGGAGACTTTATCACTTGGAGTTAATTGCTCCCACTGCATCTGACTGGGCAACTTAATCTGACCATGCACTCTGATCAATCCTTATACAGAGACCTTTAACGAACGGCTTGTTTTTTTTTAACCTTCCTGTTATGATAATCAAGATCTAATTCAGGCAAGGGATCTTAGGTGTTTGATAGATAAATGCTTCTTTCAGGTAGCTGCCTGTTTAACTAGGCTATTTTTACTTCCTGAAAGCCTATTGGTTTAAGTCTATTTTGTTTCATAATTGCAGGAGATTTACCACTGAATTCCCATTTTGAACCAAATTCTCAGTTACTCACTCAGGCTCTGTGTCACTTCAGCTAAGTCTCCCTCACTGACCAATGAGTGGTCAAAATGTACTCAATTCAGTAACAATCCAAACGTGCACATCGAATACCCCTTAAATACATTCAGAATTTGACTGTTATACCGAGGAAGATGTCCATATTAAGAAATCAATTATTTTTTGCAGGTCAAGCCCGTTTAGATGGTGCGTTCTGCAACTATACCCATGAGGATAAGATGAAATACTTGAATAGGGCCTATGACGCAGGGGTTCGCAACATTGAAATGGAGTCCTCTATTTTCGCAGCTATGTGCAATCGAAGTGGTCTACCAGGTAATCACATACACATGCAAGACTTTGCATGGAGCTGCTGTACTTTCTTTACAAATTGATTAGTATTTTTTATATCACCTCATTATAAATTTTGAACATTTTAAATAGGAGCTGTATAGTTTATATTTCAGTTTTGTGCTGTTTTAATGATCGTGTATAGTGTGCTTGTCCTTTCTATCTGGAACTTGCGTATGATCTCTCAAAAATGTCAGCCGATTTTCCTCTTAAGGCAAATATTTAGCATTCGTTAAGCCAGTTCAACTTGATTTTTATCATGGGCTCAATCAAGTGAGAAATATTTGTGATGAAAAGCTTCATATTTTAAAGCTCAATGGAAAAACTTAGCACTGTTGGATCTGATAGAGTACAATGCAGTATTGTCCAACAGAAAATGTTGACTCATCTCGGGTGTGACCATGGCAACACAACTTTAGCTCACTGGCACTGTTCAGGGAAATTAACTTCACGTATATGTTTATTCGCTGAGCATCCACCATCATTCAGTAACCAAGAGTCATAGATTCTTAGAGATCTACAGCACAGAAAAAGCACTTTGGCCCACAGTGTGAGTGCCACTCAAAAACAACCACCTAACTGTTCTAATTTCACTTTCTAGCACTTGACTCATAGCCTTGAATTCATCAGCCCCTTGTTTTCTTTATAGTCACACCTCAATTTGTTGTGACTTGCTTCTACCTCACTTGGAAGTGCTGTTGTTTGAAATTCACTTACCAATGTAAATTTGAAATTCCATAGGCTTCTCTCTCCAGGCAGCCACTTCATTTACACCTGCAGCCATTTGTGGCTGAGTCAGCTGTCTTTTAAAAAAGACATTTTGGAATTACAGGTTAAAACTTTCTACTGTACTTTAATGTTCTGATCCATGGCCATGATAGTGACTTACCTGTCATTCCCAGAGTGATTGAATTGACCTACAGGACTGACTGTGGGCAACCGCTTGGACTGAGAACTCATGATGCTCTTGACTGAGTGTGGTGGCACTTACTGACTGACCATAGACCTCTGTGACTTGGCTAAAGTCACTCCCCTTAGACTTTTAGATCAGACCATCACAAATGCAGTGTGTTTACCTTGTAAGGTGCTGGCACTTGCTGTAATGCATGGTACACTACACTATCTCCATGCCCTTGGATTGTTCAGGGCTGGCAACCAAACAAGCTGCCAGGCTTTCTACCAGCAAAATGAAACAAGGCAAGGCTTGGATACTCTTGAGTGTTCAAATAAGCACAAAGTAAATGAGTGGTACGCAAGCAAGCAAAGAGATCAGACATGTACCCTGTGCGGATGCATGAGATGGGTGTGCATCCCTGTGCTAGGAGTGACCTGGCAGGAGCATTGGAATGTGAAGTGTCTGCAAGCTGCAAAATGAAGTGATGAAGTTGGAAGTATGTTAAAAGTTAGCCTGAGAATGGCCATGATGATGTGGCAAAGCTAATATTTTGCCAGTGCTGACATTGGTAGTTGAAGGGTGGCAGTGGTTGCTGCCCATGGAGCTTGGCATTAGTTGTTAGGAAATGAATGTCAACGTGGACACCCAGAGAAGACAACAGCAAGCTTCCCACAGCAGGTAACTGCTCAAACTTTCAAGATGGGAATTTGCGCCATCTAGTTTCTCACCAGCACTTGTGAGAATCACAAGCTGCATATTAATGAGGTGGGATTGTTAATAATGAGACGCAAATGCATGGAAATAGGATCCTTACTGCTTACTAACGAGCATCCTTAGCCTTTGAAATCTTAAGAGGAAAATCGGATACATTTCTCTCAAAGTTTAGGATCTAATTTTTAAATTCTCATTGCATTTTCCCAATTTCTTGCCATTGTCCACATCGTTTTGACACTGGGAAAATTTTATCACAAGGAATTAACCTAACCACAGAGAGTAGTAAGGGCGTGGAATGCCCTGCCTGTAAAAGTAGTAGACTCGCCAACTTTAAGGGCATTTAAATGGTCATTGGATAAACATATGGATGATAATGGAATAGTTTAGGTTAGATGGGCTTCAGATTGGTTTCACAGGTCGGCGCAACATCGAGGGCCGAAGGGCCTGTACTGCGCTGTTGTGTTCTATGTTCGTTCCACAGCAATCAAGGAAATCTCAAACACCTTTCTTTGTATCTTAACATATTACAAACAAATGCATAAAAGAGCTGAAGTGCGTATGCAAATATTGTAAGAGGGGCCACTTGAAGACCCTGTGAGCTGTACATTAGAACTGTCAAGGTAAAAAGATTTGTAAGTTTTAAGCACAGGCGCATATTTCACTTGCTGCTGATATCAAGTCAACACAAGTGAGTGTTGTATGCCCTGTAGCTGATATTTAATCCTGTTGCCCAATAGCTGAAGGCCCGCACCTCTGATGTGCAAACATACCAACACTGCACTGATGGCTATCGCTGCCTCTGCCTCTGTCAGTTTCAAGGATGAAAGAGCATGATGAGAGTGGCAGAGAAGCCGTGTAAAGAGGAGCAAAGACACAGTACAAAAAAAGACACGAGCAGAGTAGAGGTGACAGTATAAAAGAGCATGGGGAGACTGGCTGAGACACAGAATAAAAGAGCCTGAGGATGGTGGCAGGAATGCAGTATAATAGGGCATGAGGAGAACAGTGGAAATGCAGAATAATAAGGCATGAAGAGAGTGGTGGAGATGCAGTATAGAAATAGCCAGTATAAAAAAGCTCAAGGTCAGCGGCAGAGGCACAGTATAAAAGAGCAAAAACACAGTATAGAAACTGGCTGTAATAATATAAAAAAATGTGAAGGGAATGGTGGAGACACAGTATAAAAGAACATGAGAAGAGCGTAGAGTTTTCACCCAGCAACTAGTTAGGGTATGAAATGCACTGTCTGGAAATGTGGTGGAGATAGGATCAATTGAGGCATTTAAGAGGGCTTTGGATGATTGTTTGGATAGCAGTGGTGTCCAGGGATATGGGGAAAAGGCAGGAGTTCAACGGTAGGTAATAGAACGGTTAGGCTGAATGGCCTCCTTCGGCACCATAGCAATTCTATGATTCAGTACAATAGATGCAAGGGGAGCGGTGGAGACAGTATAAAAGAGCACAAGAATAATGACAGAGACACAATGTAAAAAAGCACGAGGAAAGTGGTTGACACACAGCCCAAAAGATGCAAAGTGAGTAGTGTAAACAGTGGAAAAGAGTGTGAAAAAGGTGACAGAGACACACACTAAAATAGTGCAAGGAGAATGGCAGAAATATGGTATAAAAGACACATGGCGTACTTTGGTGGAAGAACATTGAAAAACAGTATAAAATATGGGGTACAATTCAAAGGAACGTTCAGGTGGAGAGAGACATGGGTGTATATGTGCATGGATTATTGACAGTGGCAGGACAGGTAGCAAAAGCAGTAAGTAAATCGCATACACAACAAAAACAAAGTTGCTGGAAAAGCTCAGCAGGTCTGGCAGCATCTGCGGAGGAGAAAGCAGAGTTAACATTTCGGGTCCGGTGACCCTTCCTCAGAAGTAAATCGCATATTCGGGTTTATTATTTGGGGTATACAGTATAAGAGCAAGTAGGTGATGTTGAGCTTATATAAGACACTTGTTAGACCTCAGCTGGAGTATTGTGTACAGTTCTTTTGTGCCACATTATAGGAAGGATGTGAATGTATTGGAGCCAGCACAGAAGCAGTTTACCAGAAGATTTCCAGGGATTGAGGAACTTCAGTTATGAGCATAGACTGAAGAAGTTGGGATTGTTCTCCTTGGAGAGAAGGCGGCTCAGGAGATCTGGTAGAGGTTTCCAAAGTGATGAGTGGGCTGGATAGAATAGATAGGGAAAAACTATTCCTGCTTTTAAAAGGGACAAGAAGGCATGGATTTGAAGTATTTGGCAAAAGAAGCAAAGGTGAAGTTAGAAAAATCGTTTTCACTCAGCAAGTAATTTTATTTTCTATTCATTTGTTGGATGCGGGCGTTGCTGACTGGGCCAGCATTTCTTGGCCATCCTAGTTGCCCTTGAGAAGATGGTGGTGAGCTGCTGCCTTGAACAGCTGCAGTCTTCCTGCTGTAGGTTGACCCACAATGATATTAGGGAGGAATTCCAGAATTTTGACCCAGTCACAGTGAAGGAACAATGATATATTTCCAAGTCAGATGGTGAGTGGCTTGGAGGTGGTGGTGTTCCCATATGTCTGATGCCCTTGTCCTTCTAAGTGGAAGTGGTCGTGGGTTTGGATGGTGCTGTCTGAGGATCTTTGATGAATTTCTGCAGTGCATCTTGTAGATAGTACGCACTGCTGCCACTGAGCGTTGGTGGTGGAGGGAGTGGATGATTGTGGATGTTACAGCCAGTCAAATGGGCTGCTTTGTCTTGAATGGTGTAAAGCTTCTTGAGTGTGGTTGGTGCTGCACTCATCCAGGCAAGTGGGGAGTATTCCATCACACTCCTGACTTGTTCCTTGTAGATGGTGGACGGGCTTTGAGGAGTCAGGTGGTGAGTTACTCGGCGCAGCAATTTGGGTATGGAATGCGCGGCCTGGAAGTGTGATGAAGGCAGGATCAATTGAGGCTTCAAGAGGGCATTGGATGATTATTTATATGAAAATAACATGCAAGGCTTTTGGAAAAAGCAGGAGATTGGCACTAGGTGATGATGCTCATTTAATGAACTGGTGAAGGCATGATGGACCAAATGGCCTCCTTCCAAAGCTGTAAGCTCCTTCTGTGATGCAATTGGTAACAGTAAGGGCACAAGACTTTCATTTATGCAAAAAGCACATCTTGAAGCAGTTTTTAGCTGATTAGTATTTTCCAGTGTAGGATGTAATATTTTTCAAGTGTAGAAAACACAGCAGTAATTTTTCACATAGCAAACTGCTACAAACAGCAATGTATTAACTAGTTATTGCGTTTTATGGATGCAAAGACATTTACAGCACAGGAAACCATTTGGTGGGGTAGTGTCACAGCACAAAAGAGTGGAAAAGAAGTGACAAAAGTGAAAAAAAAAGTGAGGAGAATGACGATGGTACAATATAACAGACAAGAGGGGAGTGACGGAGACGTAGTATAAAAGTATATGAAGAGAACAGCTATGACAGCTACTGTGCAGTTTCACTGATCAAAGGTCTGTCAGTTCTACTGAAGAAGCATATTCCCAGTGTGCAATCATCTACGTGAGCTGGAAAGTTTGCTGACTGTTAAATCTAGAAGGTTCTGTTAAAAGACATTTAATGACCAATTTGAATATTTAAATGTTTTGTCCAACAGCTATACAGGAGTTCCCAACTCACCTTTAAACCATCTGGGGGCAACATGGAAGAGTGCAAGATGATGTTAGGATCCCCACCCCAATCCTAGTGTTGGGGGATTTAACTAACCTGATTCACCAAAACTCACCTCTACTTCCATGCCCTATGAGCTGCAAGGTTTTGCTTGCATTTTCCATCTTTGAACTGACTGTTGGTTTTCACTGCCCAATATATCACAACTCACTCCTCCTGGCAATGTGCCCAAAAAATCTTGCTAATACCTGCAACGCAGTGTTCTCTATTTGGCTGATAGTTATAAATCATTGACATTTTACCTAGAGGTGGTAGTCCCATCCATCAGCCAGAAAGCCAGGGGTAAGCCAGCTTCTAGTGGTGCAGGAATTCAATTTTACTTCCGTCAGCTAATTTATTGCCCGAAGTCATGGCTTCCACCCCTCTAAAGCAGAGATGCCTGCCTCCAAGAGTGGGCTAGCAGCTTTTCAGTCCTAGAAGAGCCTCTGGTGGTGTAGCGATTCCTGAACCAATGACGATGGCACTGGCCTGGACTGGAGGTAGTTGGAGTGGGAGATACTGGACCATTCAGGCCATGGTGGTTAGTGGAAATCTTCCAGCAAGGATGGTAACGGGCAGGCTTCTATGTGCTTCAGGATCTCTGTGATAGAAAGGACCACTCACCCCATCCTGAGCCCACAGGTTTTACTGAATGGCCTCCCAGTTGGCAAAGAGCCCATCCACTGATGGTAAAATATTAATGGTGGAAGAGGCCTCTAAGTGACCATTAATTAGAGGGCAATGTTTGACTTGTTGCCCCCCACTATCAATGAGGATAAAATACTAGTGAAGTTGTGAAGGAGACAGCCACCCTGCCATGCCTAAGCCTGCTCTTGAAAGGGAGTGGGATTGGGAGCCATGTAAAATTCCAATCATAGAATGTAGTTGGCATCCATATTTTGAAATGTAAAATGCATATCAGATCAATGTTGTAAATTCTTTGAAATAATTTTCATCCTTTCGAAGACCTTAAAGAGGATAAATTCCAGTCACTATACTGTGTCCCTTCTAAATAGTTCAGAAGGAAAATGTTCAATGTAATGGTGCTGAACTTTGGAGATCAGGATGATTCCAGGTTCAATCCTTTTTAGGTGCTGATTTAAAGAAACACTGGAGAATTTTGTTTCTTTTTCTCATTTTTCTCCCTTCAAAAACAGATGTAAGTTCACTTCTTTTTTCTATCCCTCTTCCTTTTGGAGAATTGCTTAACCTTTCAAAAGGGTGAAGAAGCATATTGTTTCTAGGCAAGTCAAATTAATGTTGAATTAATAAGAAGTTTACACTGATGTGGTAACTTCTGACACAGACAATATATTTGATCATTCAAACATTAATAGCTTCAACTGAAGAACAGGCTTAGAAAGTGGAAAAATTTGGTAACAATAAGGGCACAAGACTTTCATTTATGCAAAAAGCACATCTTGAAGCAGTTTTTAGCTATTAGTATTTTCCAGTTTAGGATGTAATATTTTTCAAGTGTAGGAAACACAGCAGTAATTTTTCACATAGCAAACTGTTACAAACAGCAATGTGATAACTAGTTATTGCGTTTTATGGATGCAAAGACATTTACAGCACAGGAAACCATTTGGCCCATCTTGTCCCTACCTATCTATCATTTTCTATCTTTTGGCCCATAATCCTGAAGGCTATTACAATTGAATATCTAAGTACTGTTTAAATGATATGAGAGTTTCTGCCTCAACCACTTTTCAGACACTGAAATCCTAACACCCAGCACCTTCTAAATGAAATAAATCCTCCTCAACGCTCCTTGCCACCTTCTCCCCCTTACATTGAATCTAAGCCCTTGGTTATTGATTTCTCCACTAATGGAAAAAGTACCTTCTGGTCTACCATATCCAAGCTCCCATAATCTTATACACCTATAACAGGTCCCTCTCAACCTTCACTTTTTTGAGGAAAACAACCCCAATCTATCCATTCTTTCCTCATGCCTCAGACCTTCTGTCCCAAGCAGCATCCTGGTGAATTATCTCTGCACCCTCTCCAAAACAATCATATTCTTACTATCACATAGTGACCAGAACAGCACACAGTACTTGAGTTGCAGCCTAACCAGCATTTTATACAGTTTCAGAATAACCACCACATCCTTTTTATATAATATGCCTTGGCTAATAAAGGCCAGAATCCCATATGACTCTTAATCAACTTATCTACTTTCAGGGATCTGTAGATATGTACATCAAGGTCCCTCTGATTGTCATTATTTTGCCACGTCCTACCATTCACAGTGTTACTCCTTGCTTTCTTAGCCATCCTGAAATGTAGTCCCTCAATTTTTTTGCATTGAGTTCTATTGATCCACTGCTCTGCCAAGCTGATCATTTCATTGGTATCCTCCCGCAGTTTCTGGCAATCTTCCTCACTATTTACCACCTTACCAATCTTTGTGTCATCCATGAACGCCTTGACAATACCCACAACATCTTGTTAATTCTTTGATGGCTGTGTGGTTTACGTGATGCAATACAATGCCAAGTAATGCAATGCATTTACTCTTTGATCCATTTGGCGACTCTTGTGATGCATTTTAGCAACTAGGACAACCCAAAATTCTGTAGCTTAAAAACAGTGAACAGATGGTACATACTATGTTTCTGTGTCTTTGTCTTAAGCTGTTTATTTTGAATTTTACTGCTATGCATTAGCTATGTATTTGTAGGATTTGTGCTACAAGAAGCTAAGTGTGCAGCATCAGTATCAACAAAACCATAACTTGCCAACTATCTAACCTGACTTTCTCATTGTGCAGGTGCAGTAGTTTGCGTAACTCTGCTGGATCGACTGCAAGGTGATCAAATCGGAAGTTCCCATGAAGTGCTTGCAGAATATCAGGAGAGACCACAGAAATTAGTTGGTTGTTACATTAAAAAAAAATTCTGCAAAATGTAGGCAAGTTTTGACTGTTCATAACATTGAGAAGAATGAGTTTTTTTTTCTCAACTTTTTTATGAGCTTATGTTAGTTTAAATATTTGAAATGGAGACTTTCTTATGCTTGCACATTACCTCTGTTTATTTTGAAAGTCATAATAGAAGTTCAGTGGTAAATAATCTGTTTTGATATCCCCACTGTTTGGTAAAATAAATAGTTTCATTTAGCCTGGCTAGGTGCTGAAGAATAAAGATTTAAATCACTTCCTCAGTCTGGCTACTTTCTATAAAACAATACATGGAGAAATCATATTATCTCAATTTATACTTTCAAAGATTATGAATGGAATTTTCTGATTGTTATATTGACGGAATGTTGGTCTTTATCTCAAAAGTGCGGGAAGTGTGCTTTACTGGTAGAGAGCCTTGGACAGATACTGTCTGAAAGACAGCATTCAGATTTTGGCTGTGAACCTCAGAAAGCTTATATTAGCTTTGGGCAGGGAGATGACATGGCTTTGGGGTGAATTCCCCAGTCCATATGCTACCACTTGAACAACTCTTAACACATTGTTTTAAACTATTGCCTCGCTTGTGGTGGTTATTATATAATGTTAGCCCTCTTCTTTTGGGATGGGTTGACTAACTGCCACTAAAAATACTTAATGGTCTGAAATGTATCTGGGTTTCTTCCACATGGTGCTGTCTAGGTCCTGAACTCCAGATAGGCCCCACTTCTACCAGTTCAACTGTGCTGCTTTCATGGCTCCCTGATGCTCGGCTCCACCAGGAAAACCTTTGATAAGTGTCTGGTAGGGAGCAACAAATTAAGCCACTCTGGTCCTTTCTCTGGTGAAGCTGAGCATCAGTGAGTTAATATGCAGTCTCCTGGACTTATCTTGATCAATTTAAGGGCCCTGAGAGAATTTTTTCAGGTTTTCTTTCTTAATTGCCCTTTGTCTTTTAATCTGTTTTTTTGCCCCCTCCAGGAGATGACATGTCTCTAGCTCTGATGGGCATGATGCATAACACATCAGAGCATTATGAAATAGGCTAAAATGGATCAGTTAATCTTTTTATGTTGGTATAATTTTCCTTCATAAATAAATTGTAGCCAAGCTTTGAATTGGGAAATGAGTAGCACTGATCTTGACTTTCATTAGATACCCTGTAACCTCAATAAATGTGTGTCAATTAGTTTGCCTCCATAGTCTATGAATAGTTTTGAGGAATACAAATTCTGCACTTCAACTTCATCTTTTTATTATGCCATTAGTTTTGGAGCCAATGTAGTCAAAACAAGCAAACAAACATGTACATATATTTGTGTGGCTCTAAAATGAATCAGCTCCAAAATACATAGGCAGAAAATCTTATTGTTTAAACTTGCTTTTTAGAAGATGGAAAAGATTTTGGAAGAATGTCAATGAAAAGACTAATAAAGTTAGCATAAACATGTTTGTGAAATAAGCAACTAAGATAAACACACAAAGGTTCATTGATCCTTCAAGGACTCAATCACTGATGGAATTTCCCATTGGTTTGCTTGAGGGGAGAAAGGGATCTTGCTGTGCACTGCTGCTAAGCAGACATAGAATAACACCTGGCTTATTTTAAAATATAAAATAAAGGCCTGTGCAGGGAGGATGTGGCATGAATTTGGCTGTGTGAAAGCTTTAATTCTTTTAACACTTGTTGCACAATAGTAATTAATTCAGCGAGTGCTCAGTACCTGTACAGTGTGCCAAAATGTTGTGTATGTGAGTTGATACTTTTATACAACAACATTTTTAAAAAGGCAGAAAAGGAGGCCATTCAACCCACTGGCTGACAAGAGCTACTTTGTATAATTACTTGAAGCTTTCATCCCTTTTAGGAAATGTGTTGCAAACCCCCACCAGCTACTGTGTTAAAAAAGTCTTCTCAATTTCCTTCTAAATTACTTACTTGAAATCTGTGCCCTCCCTGCTAAAGGAAATAGATCCTTCTACCTATTCTATCTGGGCCCCTTGTAATTTTATGAGCCTCAGTTAAAACTCTTTTCAATCTTCTCTGCTTATTTTGCAAAAAGCCAACAATCTTAATGTATTCAGTCTTTCCTCATAACTAAAGTTTTCAATTTCTGCACCTCTTCAAGTACTACGATATTCTATCAGTAATACGATGACCAGAACTGTATGCTGTACCCTAACCATTGCTTAACTAATATTGCATAATCTCTTTATTCTTATATTCCAAACCTTGACTAATAAAGGGCACATTCCACATGCCTTTTCAATCACCTCAATTATGTCCTATTGCCTTAAAAGATCTATTGACTTTATTTCTTTATTCTTCCATAGAATGTGGCAAAGCCAGCATTACTGTTCATCACTAACTGCCCTTGAACTGAGTGACTTGCAAGACTATGTCAGAAGGGAGACAGTTACGTACAAACATACAAATTAGGAGCAGGTGTAGGCCACTCAACTCCTCCAGCCTTTTACACCATCATGGCTGATCTGATTGTAAACTCAACACCACATTCCTACCTGCCCATGATAACCTTTCACTCTCTTGCTTATCAAGAGGCTATCTATGCCTGCCTTAAAAATATTCAAAGACTCTGCTTCCACCGCTTTTTGAAAAGAGTTCCAAAGACTGATGACCTTCTGTGAGAAATTTTTTCTTTTTTTTGTCTAAAATGGAAAATCTTTAATTTTTAAGTAGTGACCTCTGATTCTAGATTCTTCCATAAGTTGAAATGCCTTTTCACATCCATGCTATCAAGACCCCTCAGCATCTTTCTCAATCAAGTCCCCTCTTACTGTTCTAAATTCCAGTGAATAAGAGGCTAACCTGTGCAACCTTTTCTCATCAATAACTAGCTCATTCCAGATATTAGTCTCCTTCCTGTTCTTGTCTGGAAATGGTGAAAAAAAACAGCAATTTTGGTTCCAATTTCTATGCTTCTATCACCGTGGTCCTTCTCTGTCTCTTCTTGTCCCTGCCCTGATTTCTCTGTTTCCATTCTGGGGTTAGACTCTCTACCAATGTCTCTTACACTTAACTACATTTCCTCACATCCCGGTTCCAAAAGGGCTACTCTGCAATCTCCCAGTTTCTCCATCTCTGGTACATTGTTCTATTGATACTTCCTTTTCCCTCAACTGCGGACTCCCTCCACTATCTATTTTCTGCTGTGAACACCTATTTTACGTCATTCTTCTGCTTTCACTAGTATCCTTTTTGCCTTTTGCTCTGGGCACACTCCTTATCTGTTCCACTTGCTTCTGCATCCCCTTTGTCAACAGAATAAAAGCCATTTTTTTTAGTCCCAATCAGTTTAAAAGAGGAATCATATTGGATTTAAAACATTAATTCTGTTTCTCCACAGATACTGCCAGACCTGCTAAATTTCTCTAGCACTTACAGTTTTTATTTCTGATCTTCATCATTTGCAATACTTTGTTTTCATATTAGAGTAGCAAACATTCTCTGAACTTCTTTGAACTTATTGGTTAAATGAGGATACCAGTACTGTACGTAGATGTCATACCATCAATGCCCTATATAGCTGAAGTATAGCCCTCCCTACATTTGTCCCTATAATGTCCCTCACAACAAACAATATTCTATTAACCTTCCTAATTACTAACTGTACCTATATGCTAACCTTTTGTGATTCATGCACTTGGACACCCAGATCCCTCTGCTTCTCAGAGCTTTTCAATCTCTCATTATTTAGATAATATGTCTCTTTTTTAAATTTTTCCTGTCAAAATGAACATTTCTTACTTCCCAATATTATATTCCAATTTCCAGAACTTTGCCCAATCATTTAACCATCTCTGTCTTTTTGTAGTCTTCTTAAGCCCTCTTCAGACTTACTTTCCAACAATACCTTTGGTCTCTTCAGTCAAGTCAATTATATAAATTAGAAACAATTGAGATCCCAGCACTACTCATTACATCCTGCCAATGAGAAAATGAAACATTTCCGTTTCCTGCTACCTAGTCAATCTTTCATCTGTGCCACTATATTACCCTCACACCATGAACTTTTATATTCCATAATAACCTCTGGTGTGGTACCTTATCAAATGCTCTGGAAATCTATCCATTTCCTCTTTATCCACAGCTAAGTGTCAACAACATTGCTGTGGCTCTAAAGTCACGTACTGGTCAGCTAAGGATAGTAGATTTCTGAGGGCATTAATGAACCAAATGAGCTTTTACAACAATTGATGCTTGTTTCATGGGTAATTGAATTTAAAATCCACCAGCTTCCAAGGTGGGATTTCATCTCATGCCCCAGATCATGAGCTGGGGCTCTGGATTACTAATCCGGTGAAATAACCACTATACTGCCACCTCCCCTTTATTGTGTACTCCCTTGCCTTGTTGCCCTCCTCAAATGCTTACCTGTCACTTCTCTGAACTGATTTTCTACCTATTTGATCAATATAATCAGATTTTCCTGCTGTATACTTGGCCATTTTTGGCGTCCTCTGCAAACTTCCAAATTATGCTCCTTACATTTAACTCTGAATCATTGATATATTTTGCGAAAGGGAAGTGACCCAGAACTGAGCCCTGGGGAATTCTGCCAGACAAAACTCTCTTGTCATAAGGTAAACGTGTTGACCATTACCTTCTTCTTTCTGCCGCTGAACCAGATTTGAATCTGACTTGCCACTTTTCCTTGGGAAATCCAGTGGGCTTTTGTAACTAATCATTCATGTGGGACCTTATTAAAAGCTTTGCTAAAATTCATAGGGTTACATCAAATGTGCTACCTCATAAACTTTCCATATTATGTTTTTATAAACTTCAATCTTGTTAGAGAACACCTTCATGTACAAAAAAAAAGTACCCTTGACTAAATTTGCCTTTCTAAATGACAGTTGATACTGTCGCTCAATTTTTTTTAGAGTAATTCTTCCATCTCTGAGGTTAGAATGACTAGCCTGTAATTAATATATATATCTTTTCTTCCTTTTAAATCAATAATTAAATACTAGCAATGTTCAGTCTTTGACTGCTATCCTGAAAGCTCGAGAGAAATGGAGGCTGGTGGTAAGATCCACCTTCGTCTCTCTTCATGACCTGGATTACATTTCTTCTGGGCCTTGTCATAATAGTAAGGTCCTGGGGAGTGTTGCCGAACAAAGAGATCTTGGAGTGCAGATTCATTGTTCCTTGAAAGTGGAATCACAGGGAGACAGAATAGTGAAGAAGCCACCAAAACCTAAGTTGCTGGAAAAGCTCAGCAGGTCTGGCAG